TCATTAAATACACATCGCTCGCAGACACTTCGCAAGATCAGCCCTTTGAATACACATCGCTCGCAGTCTTTAATACCCTCTTAAAACCATCGTTGAATACACATCGTCCCAGACCTTACACCTCGAAAGATCCACGCATCAAAACTCGTCGTCGTATCCTTGCACACCGGGAAGATTATCACTATTCTTTAACCCAGTTAAGGACGCCCACGAATCCTCAAAGAATCCTGCGAGATCCTGCCGCCGAGAACATAATAACAAATTTCATAAAAAAAAAAAAATAAATAAATAATAATAATAATTAATGCAAATAAATAAACGGAAACAATAAAAATTAAAATGAATCAATAAAAATTAAAATAAATCAATAAAATTAAAATAAATCGAAATAAAATAAATAAAATATAGGGCAGACCCTCCGACTGCGACCGAACGACCAGCGAAGACCAACGACAGAGTCACGCTCTGACCAGCGAAGAACAACAACAGAGCCACGCTCTGACCAGCGAAGACCAACGACAGAGCCACGCTCTGACCAGCGAAGACCAACGACAGAGCCACGCTCTGACCAGCGAAGACCAACAACAGAGCCACGCTCTGACCAGCTCTGACCAACGACAGAGCCACGCTCTGACCAGCGAAGGGAGCCACGCTCCAACCCACGGGACCAGCCGCAGAGCCACGCTCTGACCAACGAAGAACGACGAGGGAGTCACACTCCAACCACGAAGAGCCATCCAAGGCACATCACTCAGAGCCACGCTCTGATCAGCGAAGTACATCGACGGAGTCACACTCCAACCACGAAGAGCCATCCACGGCACATCACTCAGAGCCACGCTCTGATCAACGAAACACATCGACGGAGCCACGCTCCACATCCGAAGAACCACCAGGGGCACCTCATGCAGAGCCACGCTCTGATCAGCGAAGGACGACAACGGAGTCACACTCCACCCGCGCCGAGAAGCCACAGACGACAGCCCAAGGAGAGCCACGCTCTACCCATCGAGGGCAGCCAAGGGAGCCACGCTCCGAACTCGAAGACCAGCCAAGCACCTCGCCTCGAGCACAGTTTCGAGGCACAGCATCACCAGCGACGGAGAACCAGCCGCCCTGTTGGAGACAGGCTTTGCCCGTGGCAGATGCCACAGCCGCGCAACGGAATCCCTTCCGTACCTCCACAAAACGTGTCCGCTTCCAGGATCACGTCGAGGAAACGCCGGAGCCAAGCCCGCCCCTATGCGGAACCGTCAATTTGGTGAGTCATCCCACAGAGGATCAAGTCTCATTCCAGATAGAGAAATCCGAGACGCCGGATTACCCCGAGCCTTGGGTGAAGGAGTTCCTGGACCAGGAACTGGCCAAATTTGATACTCTCTCAGGGGTATCACACATCGCAGAGCATCGCATCTTCATGCGCACCGATCGACCGCTTATATAGCGACAACCGCCTTCAGCCCGCCTACCACAAGGCACGACGAGCCACACGCTCCACAGATTCCGCAGCACCGAGGCCAACCAGACGATGGACGGACAAGGCCATCCGCCGACTCCCGCCCCGGCGCCACAGGACACCGCATGGATGTACGGTGCGGTCGACGAGCTCCTACAGGCGCTCCACGGCGCCGGCCAAGCCAGCCGCTTCCCAGCGACAGCCTCGCCGACCCCTCCCGGCCACGGGCTCTACCCGTCGAGGACATCACCATCGACGCCGACGACATGGAGTCCCAGCATACCAGCCCCAGCGGGCCACGACCACTCCCTCTGGAAGTCGCCCACCACCGCGGCGATGACGAGGAGGGGGTGAACGCGGATGACCACGCCGAACTACGACCATCATCTGCAAGGGGAATGCCGCCCCTAGTGCCCAGGCACATCGGCCCCATTGGGCCACAACGACACCCTCCAGAAGTCGCCCACCGGGGCGACCGTGGCTGGATCTTCGCCGCTACAAGGCCGGGCCCCAGCCACCACCAGTCGCAGCCGATCTCCTCCGCCCTCGTACGAGGAGATATTTGGCCCAGGTCTCTACGCCGGCCCTCACGCTACCGCCCGATGCGCCGCGGAACCCCAAGACGCGATCCTCGACCACGCCTGCCCACCATCGCGGAACTGGCCGCAGAGGAGGCGCGCCGAAGAGCGGAGGACCTCAGCGAGGAACTCGGCAACCCACCGGTTGCCCAACCGCAAACGAATGGCCCACCATCACCGACCCCGCGCCGCCGAGCACGGCGCCGGAGCGCACCATGGGCAGACAGCCCGCCCAGCTCATCCGACGAATCGTCGTTGGACACCGACGAGGGAGCCCTCAATCCTCCCCGCTGGGTGCCTGCCCCGGCGGAGTGGACCACACCGAACGGCACGCTGCCGGCAGCCCTGCTTCGCCGGATACACGGGCGCCTGGCAGTACCGAGGCGACAGACGATCCGGATCCTGGAGGAGGAGGGAAACCAGCGCTTTCGAATCCAGGTGAACCGGAGCAGAAGGGTTATCGTCACTCTCCATCCCTCCCGAAGATAGGGTGGAGTGTGACGAAGTCACAAAACCCTATTTTGTAAATAATGTAAATATTAGTTAAGTTTATAGTTAAGTTTAGCAATTAGTAAGTTAGGATTAGCCATACCACACACCCACACCCCACACACACACTCATACACACAACTGTACATTTAAGCGGGCATGAAGCCCAAAGTTAATTTGCCCAAGAAGGGCCAAATTAGAGTTAGATTAAGACCGCAACGCACAGGCGTATACATTTTTTCCAAGACGGACTGTAGCGACCGCGCTGAAGACATTTCCCCTCTCCGCTGCCGACGCGAACAGCTGCAGAGGCAGCGACATTTCCCCTCCGACGATCGTGCGTGTTTACGTTTTGGTCGTGTTTATTTACATGCCGATCAAAACATAAACAATAACAATAACGAAGCCGACGGCCGAAAGCTGCGCTGCCCGGACATTTTTGGCAGAGACGAGGCGACAAGGGCTTTGCAAGCTGCGACCGCGGTCACTTCTCTGGCATCTTCGAACGCGATCGTTACACATCTCTCCCGCCGCGGGCGGCAAGTCCTCAAAGGACACGTGGGAAAGTTCCCCAAACGACTAAGTCCCAAAAAGGACACGCGAGTGCCCTTGCATATCCTGGCTGCAGGACACGTGTCCCAGTCCACCGACAACAGCGGGTGAGCCGGCCGAGTGCCATGTCAGGGTAGATTTCTGGAGTGTGGCGTAGGGCCAGGTTAGGGACGGCAGTCGTAGGTTAGGAAAATGTAGACAATAATTAATTAATGTAATAAAGCACAGAAAATGAATTCAGAAATTCCATCGTCTTTCTCCCTCGCACCCGCATGAAACTCCGCGTTGTTAAAAATAATTCCTTATCGTGACGCGCGCCAAGGTGTTCCCCTCCCGCTCACTCACTCGCTGAGCTGGTGGCTGGGTTCTCCCGCACCAACTTCGCGTGGCCGCTGGGCAAGCTCCGGGCCAGAGCAGCGGGACGGGAGCGGGATTTGTCGCCGCTGGGTTCTCCCGGGCACAGATCTGGCGTGGGCATCGGGGCTGCTGGGTTTTCCCGAGCTACGAGCTCCTCGCCGCCGGCACGTGCTCACAGATTCCCCTCTTCCCTCTCCTTTTCCCTTCCGATCTGCATTTTGCCCGCCATCGCCGCTGGGTCATCCCGGGCGGCGGAGATTTTGCCGATAGGAAGAGTCGCCGCTGCTGGGCAACCGGGCGAGCGCAGGAAAACGGAGGAGCACCTGGCCACCGCCAGGGTGATCTCGCGCATTAGGTTTCCCCTTCCCCTCTCCCTTTACCTTTCGATCTGCATTTTGCCCGCCATCGCCGCTGGGTCATCTCGGGCGGCGGAGATCTTGCCGATCGGAAGAGGCGCCGCTGCTGGGCAACCGAGCGGGCGCAGGAAACGGAGGAGCACCTGGCCATCGCCAGGGTGACCATTTTAGATTCCCATTTTTCCCGAAGTAAGATTCGCCTTTAAAAACGAGCCCCTTTTGCCTAGAAAATTCATTAAAATTCGGCGTCCATGTTCTGGCCGTCTCTAAAAATATAAATATTTCTGGAGAGGAATCCTGGGCCGCTGAGGTTTACCCCGGCCTAAGACACATCCTTACAATTTTGAGGCTTGCGAAAAATGTGCAATATTAAATCAATAAAAAATTATTAGGGTTCAATTGTTTTTAACTTCACAGATTAAAAAATAAATGCAACACACTTTGTTTATAATAATTTCTTAATTTTCACATCGAAAATATTAATTTTTAAAAGAGAATAGAGTTAAGTTTAATTTAATTTAACCCTTATAGGTTCTACCAACAGAGGTACATTAACATCCAAGATCCCTTGAAGGGATGGACCATAAGTTCTTGCGGTCCGAAATTTCTCATTTTGTTCTGCCATCCGTTGTGCATCTAAATTTAATGAGTTTATTATGGCGATTTCTTCATATTGACAACAAAAACTTGACCATTCTCTACGAAAATTGAAAAAAAAATGACGAGGAACAATAGAAATGTGGAATTTGAAATGTGGCGCCAAAGCTACAATCTCATTCCTGTATATTCTTGCCGAAAAAATTTCTCCAATTTTTCCTACTATTTACTATAAAGCGCTTACTTCTACTTTATTTTATAGATTTTGAAAGTCTATACTAAAAAGCACCCTTCGGGGCATTTGCTCTTATTTCAAGAAAAATCATTTGAGAAACTCACATTATTCGTCATATAATTAATTTTAATTTAGTAAGGATATTACGTAATCTGGGAATAAATAGTTGATCAATTATTCATTTTACTCCCACATCAGCCATCTTTGTTTATGTTTTAGATGTGGCACAGCTGATCGATCATCTGTGTATGTAGCTCTGTGGGAAGACGAGTTTCACATCTGCGAAATCGCAACTGTTCACACAGATGGACTGAGTACGTAGACAGTAAATACTTACTTGAATTTTAATTTGGAAGGATGAGAAACTGTAAGCCGAAGCATTAAATTCAAAATCGATTTTTTATTTGCAAATATTACATTTTTATGATCATTACTTTTGCTGTTTTCTGCTTTTACATAGTGTCAATATGCATCTGGCTTATGAATACTCCTTAAACATTTATAAGTTTAATTTATGCTGAGCTAATGTTAAAAACTACACTTTATACTCTTTCCCCTCCGTGTTTTTCGGTAACATACAAAATATGCTGTGAGTCACAACGTGTAATTATAAAGTTTTTTTTTTCTTTTTTTTTAATTTCAATATAGTTTGTGGCTTTGTAAATGTGGTACTATTTAATGTAATTTTGTATTTAAAAATTAAATAAGAATTTAATGTTTTCAATTAACTAAAAACTAACTGTATCCTTCAAGAAAAAAATTTAATTAAATAATAGCAATTCTCCAATTATTATTTAAAAAAACAAAATCGGTGAACAGTAGGAGATGTAGGAGACAGCTGATGGGGGTCTGAACACAAAAAACCTTGTGTTTAATGTAATTGAGTAATTGTCGAGTTATATGCTTTTATCCTATAATATTTTCGAGCCCTTTGTAACTATTTTGCTGTAAGAATTTACTGTTCTATTGTTATGAATTATAATCGCATGCTTTGTATGTAAGTATTGTATCGTATTGGTTGTTGGTGTTTAAGTATAATTTAGTTAAATTTCGGTCTGCTATTCATTTATCTTCCCATTTAAATCAAAAAGTAGCTTGTAAAGCCTAACATGCTAGAAGATGATGGGTAGAGCGTCATGGAGAAGGTGCTTTAAAGTAAATTATATTTAAAAATTTTAACTGCATAAAAATATATGTACATACATATGTATATGGAAATATTCGCGTGTTGCTTTAGAATCTACTTTTTAAATTAAGCGGGAAGAAACCAGGGGAAGAAAAAATTCAATACTTTTTAAGGACTGAATCTAGATTTCGGTTTTTATAAATTCGGTTTAGTGTTTCAGGTTTTTTATTCGTAGTGTGGCATTTATAATTCTCAAAGGTTTTTTATTATTGGAGGTTATAAAAAATAAATATAACGAAATTAATTATTTTGAATTTTAGAGTTGCAAGAAAACCAGCAGAAACTTGATAATTTATATAACCGTGTTTCGTTTCTCAATTAAAATTTTTGTACACTTTTTTTTAAGTATTTTTCTTTCCAAAATGTTGCATTAAATAGAAATGTTTTTTTTTTTATTTTTCACTAATATAAGACTATGTAAATATAAATTTTTTAACTCTTGTGTTTTTTTTTCGCAAAAATCTATTTTTTATTTTATTTTTTATATAAGTTTGAATTTAATATTTTAGTTTGTGTCGTCGTTTAAATTTACAAAGTTTATAACGTTTCACCTAAACATTTCTTGTATATTAAGTCATATGTTATATACACATATATTCTTTTAATTAAATTTGTAATAATCACTTCGCTATACTGTTGGTTCGCATTTACAAAATAATTGTAATAAAAAACATAAACAAGAATTAGAACATAAAACTTATAGTTGGAGTTCTTTGAATTTTCACCTTTACCATATTCAAAATATTTCTACGCACGATTTATGTTTATATGTATATATATACTAAACAATTACAGTACATTTATATTAATATTTAGATTTACTTAATTAATTAAATGCGCTTAATTTTATATATCATTAAGCGTTTTTTAATAATAATTAATATTACTATTATTTTTTATATAATTTCAGTCGAAAAAACCCTTGCTACGAGGATTTAAATAAGTTAGGTTGATTTCGAGATTTTTTTCTGAAGGTTTTTTGCATTTTTATTTAGTATCTCTAATCTCTAATGATAGAGATAATCCGTGGCATTACGACAACTATCATTATTTTTATGGACATTTCCTTTTAGCTTTTCGTATTCTTTTTAGATAATAGACAATGCCATTGTTAAGGAATGGTTCATCGTTTTCATCTTATGTTCCAACTGTTCAGTTAATACGGCAGTGATGCTTTACGCTCTAAAGCTTTGTTTTTCCTGTCTGAACGCGACTTCTTTTAAGTTGTTCTTGATTCTTCTTCTGGGGAATTCCTGACCGCAAAGCTGCCTCTATAAGTTCATATTTAAGAGGGTTGTTTCCAAAGCTGATGGACAAACTCTTTAAGGTTAATATTTCCTTAACCAGTGCGCGGTTTTCGAATAACTCAAAAAGAAAACCATTATTTTAAGGAGACAACAGTAAACGATGTAGTGGCTCTTAGGCACTTGCTGGTTCTATGTATACCTGGCCTTGCATTAATACTACATATTGATCTTTTGTTCTGTATCCTCATTTTCCCTTTATCTTGAGCTTTATCTTTGTTAATGTGGTACTATTTTCTGTGATTTTGTATTTGAAAATAAAATAAGAATTTATTGTATTCAATTAACTAAAAAAAAATCCTTCGGGAAATTCAATAAATATATGTTTCTATATAGACAAAAAAAAACGGTAAATAAAAATAATCTTTCACTTTTCCTTTTTTAACATTTTCTTTTTACCTTTACTTTTTCCTTTTCTAAATTTATCTTTTACTTTTTTACCTTTACCTTTTTCTTTTTTACTTTTACAATTACCCCTCTTTTTTACCTTTACTTTTACATTTGCCTTTACATTTGCCTTTACTTTTATCTTAAAAGATAAGCACTACAGCTAACTTTTGTGATATATATTTAATTTGTTTACTTATGGATTCTATTTTCACCTTTTCTCCTTTTCTATTTTCTGTTCTATATTATTCTTAAAATGTTTGCAAAGTCAAATCAATGTCGTTTCTGTAATCCTTTACCAGTCCTTATCACTTTTCAATATTTAATATTAATTACTATTATGGTTAATAGAGAGTTTGGAGAAAAGATATTGATCGAGTGATGTTGATGGTCTTAAAAAAAACAGAATTCACCGTTCATGTTTGATGTCCTTACCACAGCATGCTGGCCTTGCAAATGTCGTCTCCACCATATAATTAATGGTAAGGAATGCTATAATACACAATACTAGCGTCGAATTGATCCAAAGAGACTGACAGGAGCCGCCACTATTGTAGGTTAACTCTTCATTTTTAACAACTTCGTTGGGATGCTGTTTGTTGTAATGATTGTGATCGTCTGTTCAATAAGATAAATTTATAATACTATTATAATCGAACTTTTAAATATTGTTTATAATAATTTGGATATGTAAATATATATATTTAATTTATTACTGTGGAAGGCTGTCGACGAAGCAGAAAAAGCTTTTGAGGAATTTTAGGGTGTTTGTTTTCAAAATGTTACAAAAGGCTCTGGAACCACCAGAACCACCAAAGAGGCGGACACACTTCGAATTACCTAATGAGGGCAAATGCGGACAAGAATGTCCATCCGGTTTTATTGGATCTTACTATTTAATATAAATGCAAAAAGTAATAAAGGGATTTTTAGCAAAAAATATATGTGCGTTTCTGCTACTTCCTGCGATTCAGAACTCAATTTCAGCAAGGCAGGGCAAGTCGTTTCGAATATACGATACTCGTTGAAAGAGTCTTGCATTAACAAATTATTATTTTAAAATGGCAATCTCATTTTGTAAATTTTTTTTTTGCATTAAGAACATTGTTTGAAAATATATGTATAGAAGGAGCCCAGAGATATGTAATTATTCAATCTCTTTGGAATTGTATTAATTCCACATCGATATTAAACCAAGAATTTTTGCTGGTAAACGATGCGGTGGTGATTGACCCTATAAGCGGAAATTTCATACAAAAACGGAAATAAACATTTACATATCCTAGGGTTAGCAGAGTAGGTAGTGTAGTAGAACTAGTTATACCGATATATCGCATTACATTTTAACCCTCCAATATACATTCCTATGAAAAAATATAAAAATATTCTAATTTATATTAATTTATGTTTGATGCCAAATTTCTATTCTATTATTCTATTATATTCAATTAAGCACATTAATTATATAATTCCCAAAGCGTATGTAATTCGCTTCAATTTTCTGACACCAAACTTAGCCTTTTTATACCCTTGCAGGGTATTATAATTTCAGTCAGAAGTTTGCAACGCAGTGAAGGAGACCTTTCCGACCCTATAAAGTATATATATTCTTGATCAGCATCAACAGCCGAGTCGATCTAGCCATGTCCGTCTGTCCGTCTGTCCGTTTATACGCAAACTAGTCTCTCAGTTTTAAAGCTATCTGAATGAAACTTTGCTGTTTATCAACATTTTTGCACCATTTATATTATCGGTAAAAATTTCATGAAAATCGGACGACTATATCTAAGAGCTGCCATAGGAACGATCGGGCAATTAATAGAAAAAACAAACTTCGTTGTTTTTCAACCTATTTTTATGTACTCTGAGATATAAGCTTATTTTATTAGTTCAGAATTTTGGTACAAATTTTATGAAAATCGGACAACTATATCATAAAGCTGCAATAGAAACGATCGGTAAATGTATAAAATATATAAAGCTGGGAATGTAAAACTGTAACTGTCAAACCATATAAACCGATCGGAAGATGTAGAGATAATGTAAAACTGTAACTGTCAAACTCCAAACAATAAGTATAGGTAAAATTTAATGAAATAATATCTGCAAGGGTATACAAACTTCGGCGTGCCGAAGTTAGCTTCCTTTCTTGTTTTTTTTACATTCGTATGGTCTAAGGTGAAGTATGCCTCATTTATTTGGAATACCTTAAGTTCCATACACTTACACCGACTTGACCAACAAAAAAACGTATTTTTCGCGCTTTACTCTCTCAATCTCTACGATCCTGTTCCTTCTTATTCCGCTAAATGCCGACTTTACAATGCTTTATAAAGCGGGACAGTCAGCTCTTCTATCCTCTAACGAAGACAAATGCACGTCTTCGTTAGAGGATAGTGGCAATATTTATGCCACCACGTCCCGGTTGCAGCATATTGATGCTACCAAGACAAATGCACGTCTTCGTTAGAGGATAGAAAAGCTGACTGTCCCGCTTTATAAAGCCTTGTAAATTTTTGTGTTTCAGGTAGGCAACTAAGAACTTTTGAACCTTTTTCTACTCCATTCTACAGAACATACTATGCCCTAAACGAGCGCATTGATAGGGCTTTAAATTATTTTAATAAATTGCCGCCAAAAATGCGATTGGAACCAATTTTTATAATATATGTGTGCAAAAAATATTTTATACACCCAACAACATCTGATTTGATAGGTTTTAATATAAAAGTTGTAACTCACCATTGTTGTTTCCATTGCTGTTAATAATACCCTTATTAAGCAAAGGATAGTTGTTGTTATGCTGAGTTGGCACATTATTTATTCGAATGCCAGTTTGAATATGATGATGTTGTCCGGGATAGGCAATATTTATGCCACCACGTCCCGGTTGCAGCATATTGATGCTACCAAGACCGTGGTTAGGGTTTCCAGGTGTTAATATAATTCCACTGGAGCCCACATTGTTACCAACAATATTTGGTTGTTGTATGGGAATCCGATTAAACTGATCAATATTCGAATTTATAGTGGTGGCTATGCCAATGCCCGTCGGATTGATGGGATTTCCAGCGGGCATTAGGCCACCAGAGTTACCCATAGCTATGTTATTGCCGTGGACCATTCCGTGACCATGGTGACTCTCTTCATTATTGGCTGCGACATTGACGCTGTTTCCAGCGTTATCCGCTCCAGATCCTGCTCCTGCCACATCCACCGATGACGTAGCGACCGAGCTAGTTTTATTTTTGTCTTCATTCGCCGCACAACATACTTTAAAGACAACTTTCATATTATTTGTAGAGCATCTACCGCCAATTCGACGATATAAATCATCCTTTGATGAAGTTGCTATATAAATATAACGATAAAGAATATATATAACGATAATAACATGAGCCTAAAAAGTAATAATTATAAACGAACACTCACAAATGAAGTAGTAATCATTTCCAGGAAGGAACTCCAAACCACCTGGTTGCGGTGTAAATGGCCGGAAAGTTATTGTAAAAAACATTAACTTTTGAGGTTTATCACATATAGCTATTACACGCGGATCGGCATTCGTTATTCGGCATGTTTCATATTCCACCTTCGATACATTGTATATTATATATTTCTCCGTTTCATTCTCAAATGTTCCGGGCTCATAAACGGGGCATATGATGTGCACCTGATCGAATTCAAATGCCAAATTGCCTTTATTCACATCGATTATATGATCGGTGTTATCGATACGAAATCTGTAATATAAAAGTGTAGACATTTTATTATAGATAAACGTTACCTAATATTCAAATTCTCTAATTACATTTTTTTTTTTTTAAGTTTTCAGTCTCAAATTATTTGAGCATCAGCTGCTGTTTCGCTGTTCTAATCATATTTTATCCTATTCTATAGAATTTATTTTGAATAAAATAAGAATAATATTATATTAATTTATCACATTTATACCCTTTCAGGGTATCATAATTTTAGTCAGAAGTTTGCAAGGCAGTGAAGGAGTCATTTTCGCATTTTATCTAAATTGACTACTTAAATTTAACTATGTTTTAAATTATTAATAGAGTAACTTACGATATTTTGCTAAAAAGAATATTAAAATTGAATAAAACTAAATTTAAGAAGAAAACAATTTAAATTCTTTTGAAGTAAATAAAATGTGTAAATAGTTTTGACAACATACATGCTTCTACCAAAGACATAACAATTCTGTAAGATGCGTAACGTCATAAGATTTTTTTCGTGTTGACTTGGTCTTGATCTGGCTTTCGGCTCCGAGTGTTTTTGTGCAAACGGGCCTCAAGAAGGCCAATTTCGCTATTAAATTTATTTTTTATTTTAATAACTCTTTTATTTTATATTTTTATTGATAATAATGTATTATTAATTTTTTAACCAATTAAATTAGATAATTCATACATATATAATTATGAATTTATATAAACTATTTTTATACCCTTGCAGGGTATTATAACTTCAGTCAGAAGTTTGCAATGCAGTAAAGGAGACCTTTCCGACCCAATAAAGTATATATATTCTTGATCAGCATCAACAGCAGAGTCGATCTAGCCATGTCCGTCTGTACGTTTCTACGAAAACTAGTCCCTCAGTTTTAAAGCTACCTAAATGAAACTTTGCATATAGTCTTCTATATACTCTCACTGCTATATATGTCGGAACGGTCCAGATGGGACGACTTATATACCTGCCATACAAATGTTCGATAAATAGGACAACTTTATCTTATAGCTCCATAGGAACGATCGGGAAATTAATAGAAAAAATTATAACATCGTTGTTTTTCAACGTATTTTCATCTAATTTGAGATATGAACTTTTGGTATTATTTCAGAAATTTTTTATAAATATTATATAAATCGGACAATTATATCATATAGCTGCTATAGACGCGATCGGTAAATGTAGAGAAAATGTAAAGCTAGGAATGTAAAACTGTAAACATAATAAATATATGTAAAATGTTATGAAACTCTGTTTTATGTGTGTTTTCATCATTTTAGTTGTGCTATGAATAAGTATACAGCTTTTAAATATTTTATTTTTTTTTTTTTTTTTTTCAATTATTTAACCAGAATGGCTCGATCTTAATGATCCAATTGCAATCTGCAAGGGTATACAAACTTCTCCGAGCCGAAGTTAGCTTCCTTTCTTGTTATTTAGCATACTTATTTAATAATTAAAATACATAAAAGACATACAGATTTATATATTTTATATGAACATATTATGTAAATTACGCATTTGTAGTATATGATATGAAATAAAAATTAGTTAAATGATTTTCTGAAATTCAAATTGGTTTTAATTCTAACTCGCATTCGAATATTTTGAAAACTTTTCTAGAATATGCTAATATTATTTGATCAATTAAAACATTTCTTAATGTGAATATGTATATTGAAAACAAAAACATTAAAGAACTTTTAATTTTTTGTCTTTGCTGGAGATTTACGCATATTGAATCTGGAGTAGGCCTATTGGGGATACAACAATAACAAAACGCGCCTGAAAGTCTACCTCCAAACACTCGAGAGCTTCCCTATTACCCCCATACATCCAAACATTTTAAAATACACCATTTACAACAAAATTATTTAATGCTGTCTTATTATTAGGTATTTATTTTGTTAAGGGGGGCGTAAGGTATTTAATTTTTTTTTTCGTAAATTTTTTTTTATTTTTTATTTTTAAAGTTTAACATCTTAAGAATATTGTGTCCAAAATTTACGTCGATCAGAACGAAATTGACGAAGTTATACGGAGTTGAACGAAGGTCGGTTGGTGTTCAATGCATGGGAATCACAAAGTTTAAAGCGCTCTCCTGAAAAATTCAATTATTCAAATCGGTGTGCACGATTACAGAAAACTACTGGACCGATCGATTTGAAATTTGGCACACACATTCTTTAACTAATTCCTCAGGTATTCACGTCGGCCTTTTTTTAATTTTTAAATTAAGAAATAAAGTTTTTTTTTGTTTAGTCAAAAATCGGGTTTTTGACTTTCAAATTTCCTAAAAAATCACAAAAAAAAAAAAAAAAAAACGCTTCGTGAATACCTCGGGACACTTATCCTTTAACGAATGAGGTATAATTTTTTTTTAGATCGGATGATCCTGTGGACTGTTAGGATGTACACCGCAAAACAACTTTTTTTGGAGGCGACTCTGGAGATTCCCTATAACTTCTCTACCTCTAAATATTTTTCAATACAAAATTTATCAAAAATTATACAAATGTTGTGTTATTATATGGTATTTAATTCATTAAGCTCACTTTAGCCGTTCCGCCACAATATTTGAAAAGTGGCCTTTTTTGCACCGAATTAACCATAACCCCCCCCCTTAAGCTTACTTAAGCCGTTTCGCCACATCATTTTTTTTTAAGTGACCAGTTTTGCACCATAGATTGTAATGAAGCACTAATTAAATTCATAAAATCGAAGGAAGAACCATTTACGGCTGAAAATAAGCATTTAAAAAAGGGTTTAATTGCAATCAGATGGCAATCAATCAGGCAAAATGCACGAGAGTAGAGTTGCCGAGATTGTAGAAAAATTTCCCTTTGCATAAAATTAAGTTCAGTTTGTAGATTGAATTGGCTGGTATTTTTAAAAAGAACACTTTTTCATATACTTTTAATTAATAGCCTACCTTTTAATTGTAAGACAGCATAAAATTTAATTGTTTGAAAGTAATCTTAGAAATATGCAGAGGCGCGGATTTGCAATAATCTTGAAGGCTAGAATCGAACCGATTTTAAGGTGCAACCACAAAATAATTATTTAAAAACCAAGTGTATTAGCTTTAAGTAATTCAGTTATACAATAATGTTGCGGAACTGAATCCGCCAGGCAAATGGCAGTCGAAAAGTTTCCTAGCAGTTTCATTCGGATGTTAACAGATACTTAACAGAGGAAAATACAAATCCGTGGATATTTTTCGGAAGTAAAACCTAGAACAGATCAGGGAAATCCGAATCCGAGTAGATCTTGCGGAAATGGAAACTAGAACAGGCCTGATAATCATTTTGTATTATTTTAGAATTTAAGTTTTAATTTTGTGAAAATCTCATATATGAGCTGCCATAGATCTGGCCCGTTCCGACTTATCTAGCAATGAAAATAGTCAAAAGACTATCTGCAAAGTTTCATTCAGACGGCAAGATCGACTTGGCTGTTGATGGTGATCAAGAATAAATACATATGGTTTATTGGGTCGGAAATGTCTCCTTCACTTCGTTGCAAACCTGATAGAAATTATATTACCCTGCAACGGTATAAAAACGCATAAACATAATAAGTATAGGTAAAATGTAATTAAACTCTGTTTTATTTATGTTTTAGCACTTAAATGTATAATATAAATAACAAAACTAAAATTATTATATGTATAAATATACAACTTATATATTTCCCTTAATTTTTCTCTATTAATTTAACTAGAATGGCTCGATTCTTAATGATCCAATTGCAAACTGCCATTCGGCGTGCTTCCTTTCTTGTTTCTATTAATTTGACCAGAATTGATCGATTCTTAATGATTCAATTGCAAACTGCAAGGGTATACAAACTTCGGCGTGCCGAAGTTAGCTTGAATTCTGTACAATATTAGGTGCATATTTCAGTGTGTTGTTGCATTTAAACATGTGTGCCAGAACCTAAAAGGAAAGTCATATGTATTATCCAAGACAGGAATATGCATACATATGCATATGTATTTAAGCTCTCTCCAGAACCAGTGAGTGTGATTGTGTTGGTGCTAAGAAGCAAATAAAAGGCATATACAACTGCGGTCAATATAATAGGAACAAAACGAGAGGGTATCTTTTGTATTACCATATCTTTTCGTTCTGGGAAAAATAGTAGTAAGTAATAATACTTTTTAAACAATAATTGTACTTTCATATATGTTATAATGGGATTTTAGGTTTATCTTTGGATTTTTACGCAAAGCTGAATAAGTAACCGCAGCTGTTAAAAGTGCGTACGCTCGTCATTCGTCATTTGGGGATGATTTTACACGGTTTGAAAGAAGGTGCAACAAAGGACGACGAAAGCAGCAAAGGAGATGTCGATAAGTAAATAATTATAATGCGTCCAATGCGTACGTCATGTTTAGGCGACAGAATTACTCCAAGTGGGGAAGTAAAGACATTTTTTTTTTACAATATAGTTTTATCAATACGATATATAAATTGTATTAGTAGGTATTATAAAGTAGGTATAATTAACAACCTACAAAATATTAAAACTTTATATTTTAATGTTTTGCTATAGCTGTTTTATACATAAACCTACCTTTTTCCAAACAATTCAAATTATTTTGTTTTTTAAGATTTTAATGAGATTAAAGTAACAATTTTTATACTCACATGCTGTTCGATGTATTCCAATGCATGTAAAAGGTCTTGGCGCAACTGGACATGGTTGATAATAATACCGTTTCCATACAAATCAATGTGAGCAGGGTGACAAAGGATGTTGTCCCCAGAGTGGGTAAGGGAATTATCATATTTTTGCTTCTCACAACGGATAATGAACGTTTTCGATCTTTATTTCTGCTGTTGCGTGGTTTTAATCTTTTTTTGGCAGGAAAACTTTGCGACATTTTTACGAGGTTCGATTTCTCCGATTTGGTTTTTTCATTTAAGTAATGTGACTTGGAAAACTTGCACTTACTTATCGATTTTCTATGCATAGCTGGTTGCTGTTGTTGATTATTCATTGTCTGATTTCGATTACGGTTTGTTGACATTCTATAAAAACTCTGCGTATTCTTCCGACATTGACTATCGTGGTTATCAATAGGTATCGACATTATCGAGAGCTCTGGATTATTATGGTGCAACATGTTGATGGTTCTTCTTCTGTCTGTTTTTTAATCTTTTGTGCTTTAATCTTTAGTCCTTCTTCAGGCATTCCGCTAACAATTTGTTTGTTTTGTTATTTTTTTCAACTTATTTAAGACAGTTGTTTAGCGATCTGTAAAAATTTTATACAACTAACTATGTAAAAGTTATATTCATCGTGTCGTCACATTCTAAAATGTGTCCTTGTTCCATGTCTGGGAAAACATTAAAATTAATATTCATTTATTAACTATTATACACAAATTATTAATAATTAAATCATTTACATAAAGGTATGTATCAACTTTTTGTTTAATTTTAATAATTTAATAAATAAGTCTGTTAATTTTAATAAGTCTAAATGATATTTTCGCATTGTATTTTATACAATATATAAACATATATATATACCTACAGTGTTTTTAAGTAACAAATTAACGCAATCTTTCTTTTTTATTGGGTTGTTCATTGTATTTGGCATGCACTGTCTGAACAAATCAGACAATTCTATTCCATTTTTTTATTATATTGAAACACCAATTTAAATTGTATATACTATAGAATTTTTAGTTGTTGATCAACATTCTTTTTTACATTCTTTCCTATTGAAAAACATCACAATAGAATACTATATGGGGAAGGAAATGTATGTACACACTAAATGGGAGGACGGTTTTCCTGTATACATACACAAGAGACGACGAGTCTTGGCTGGCAAAAAATAAGTTCCTTTTCATCATCGGAGAACACATCTTATTGTAAGTTCTATAACACATTTAAATAATTATATTAAACGGGTTATTCAGCATTATTAAAACATATAAAACACGAACACAATATTCAGTTCCTCTCTATGTGTATGTTTTCAATGTACACAATTTTCTCCACTTTCCCACTTGCCGTTCAACGTTGCATATCCCGAAAATGTTTGCCTCTGTTGAGCTTCATTCGAAAATAAGTCATTTTCACCGTAATTTTTGTAATGTTATTGCAATAATGCAATAAATATATGCATATAAACATATATTATTTTCTATGAGCTATTAATAAAGCAAAAGTGTAAAAAAAATCTGACAGACGAAAGTGTGACCGTTGCGAGATAATAAATAAACGCATTCCGTATATGCATTTCAAGGATAGCATCAACAATGAAATGGATTTTAGTATAAGTCGGTTTATAGGGTCTTCCCACACAACATTAAAGCGCATTCAACATCCGTTGAACAAACGGTCCATAAGGTTTTGCCGTTCCGAATTTTCCCAAATGGACCGGCGTTAGTTCAACATTAAAATCTAACCACGGTTTGTTTGGCGATAGTTAGGCGATAGTTTTTCGGTGCAACTCTGATTCTTCTTCTTAATTTGACCATTCACCACGAAAATGTAAACAATTTGGCGAGGAACAAATGAGATATGGAATTTAAAACGTGGCGCCAAAGCTACAAGCATGCCCAAAATAGTTGTTGGCGTTTTTTCTGTATATTCTTGCCCCAATATGTCCCCAATTGTTACTATTTAATATAAACCGCCTACCTCTACCTTATGTTAAAGATTTTGGATGCCTATACCACCTATAGACACTCTTCGGGGAATTGGCTCTTTGTTAGAGAAAAATCAAAAGAAAAACTAAAATTCCTTGTCATTTAATTCATTTAAATTTAGTGCGGATAAATTGTGACGCAATCTGTGCATTTTGCTGTTGTACAACAGCCAAAATAGTTGGTAAATGCTCCATTTCAAATTTGCAACTGCCAATTCGACAGCCGTTGTTTACGTTTTCATGAGCCACAGCTGATCGATCAGCTGTTCGGATGTTGAATGTGCTTTAATGTTGTGTGGGAACACAAAAAAAATAATTTTAATTCATTTTACAGCGCAAGAACCTTGTTACCGCAAAACATATTATTTTTGCTAATTTTCTAATATATTTTCAGTTCAAAAACAAGCGAAATGAAATAAAAATAAACTTCTCATTGTGAGACCATACTGTCAATGAGCTGGCTAATACATTTTTCAATTACAATTTTCTTCATTAAACCCGTATTTTGTTAACGAGTATCTAGTATTTCTATATAGATCTATCGATTATCGCGGCAATGAAGTAGCTAATGCATTATCCTAATGCATTAGAGCGCCATATAGTCGTCTTGCTCGCACTTGTGTAAAACGCTATAGGCTGTCAAATCTTTAATGAAGTCTCTAATTAATGCACCAGTGTCATGCCCGTATAATTAATGCGCTAGTATCATAATAATATTACAGCTGATCGATCAGCTGTGCCATATCTAAAACATAAACAAAGATGGCTGAAGCGGCTGATATGAGAGTAAAATGAAAAGTTTATCAACTACTTATAGGGTCTTCCCACACAACATTAAAGCGCATTTAGCATCCGTTGAACAAATGCTCCATAAGGTTTTGCCGTTCCGAATTTTCCCAAATGGGCCGGCGTTAGTTCAGCATTAAAATCTAACCACGGTTTGTTTGGCGATAGTTAGGCGCTAGTTTTTCGGTGCAACTCTGATTCTTCTTCTTAATTTGACCATTCACCACGAAAATGTAAACAATTTGGCAAGGAACAAATGAGATATGGAATTTAAAATGTGGCGCCAAAGCTACATGCATGCCCAAAATAGTTCTTGGCGTTTTTTCTGTATATTCTTGCCCCAATATGTCCCCAATTGTTACTATTTAATATAAACCGCCTGCCTCTACCTTATATTAAAGATTTTGGATGCGTATACCACCTATAGACACTCTTCGGGGAATTTGCTCTTTGTTAGAGAAAAATCATTAGAAAAACTAAAATTCCTTGTCATTTAATTCATTTAAATTTATTGCGGATAAATTCTGACGCAATCTGTGCCTTTTGCTGTTCCACAACAGCCAAAATAGTTGGTAAATGCTCCATTTCAAATTTGCAACTGCCAATTCGACAGCCTTTGTTTACGTTTTCATGAGCCACAGCTGATTGATCAGCTGTTCGGATGCTAAATGCGCTTCAATGTTGTGTGGGAACACGAGTTTCACATTTGTGAAAAATCCCAAACGTTCCTTACAAATGCGCTGTGTGGGAAGACAGTATTAGGCTGTTTGATAACAAGAAAAACTACAGATCACTTTAGATTTTATCCATACTAAATTAAAATTAACCAAAGACAAATTTCCCAAGGAGTGTGCATGGTGGTATAGGCTCCCAAAAGCTATTTAATGAACTAGAACTAGGTTTTTATATTAAATAGTAGTAGACTAGTTATTTGGGACTGCTTTTACATATATGTGTTTGTATATTGTAATTGTTCCTCGCCATTTTTTCTTTACATATTCGAAATGAATAGTCAAATTAAAATCATTTGAGAAGCCCAAATTCTTCATCATAAAAATCCATTTTAATTTAGTTAAGATTAAATATGAAGTAATTTGTGGATTTTCAGCCAAAATAGTTAAATAGTTAGCCATCTTTGATTTTGTTGTATATGTGCCACAGTTGATCGATCAACTGTATTCGGATGTCAGATGTAAATGTATGTCAGTGAAAACACACTTTTCACATCTGCGAAAAATCTCAACTGTTTCACACAGTTGGGCTGAGTGGGAAGAAAGTAAAAATGACTGAATTATTGAAAATATCGGCGATAATAAGTCGATATTTTCAGCAGTTTGTATGTGAGAAGTCTTTTTTCAGTTAATAATAACGGCAAACTATTGCCATACATCACTGATATTTTCATTAATTCACACATTCAGTAGTCAAGGGTATACCCATATTCACTATATTTATAGATGGAGGTAAGTTTAAAAAATAAATACTTTTCTTGCATGAAGCGCTGTTTTTATCCGGCAGAAAAAGGTTTATTTAAATAATAAAAAATAATAATAAATAATAATAAATAATAAATAAATCATTTTACTTCATAAAGTGTGTTCACAAAACACACGGGTTTCCTTTATTTCTTTGGTCACGCTGGTGTTAAAAAAAAAATGTATAAAATTTAGTTCATATAATTTTGTAAACGAATTTTGCTTACGTTACTACTAGGACTACGAACTCTGTCATATTTAAAGAATATCCCTAATTACTAATTATATTTAACAAGTAGGAAAATTAACAATTTTTTATTCCTTAACAACTCTGGTCACACTATTCTGTTTGATCAACGGAATTGCCGAAAAGAATCTGCAATAAATATTTGATATAATTTTAAAGCTATGGCTTTAGCCAATATTACAAGACGCTCCCTCGACGGAGTATTTCGTTTGCGATTGCGGCCACATATTATTGCAGCAGCGACATCGAACGTACTTAAGTATAAAATAACGCTTACATAATAACTTGTGTATTGTTTTAATACATAAACTTCAACCTTTTCAGTACTCGCGGCGCCGCAAAATGGTATCCAGACCCAGAATTCATGAAGCAATTCAGTGGACCCGTGATGTATCCCGACGACGTGACATCTTTGTGGAGTGTCCCACCATGGAACAGTGTGTAGTTAACATCCAGTAATCCTTCGCTTAACATTTAACTAACATTAACATTAGGCAAGGTGACGCCCGTGGAGAAATCGGTACGAAATTTAACCCTTAATTTTGGCCCCCAACATCCTGCTGCTCATGGAGTCTTACGGTTGGTGCTCGAACTGGATGGCGAGGTAAGTAAATGTAAATTTAAGTGTGTAAATGTTTACAGTTTATACATGCAATATCATACATATTTATAGACTGTTATGCGTGCGGATCCCCACATTGGCTTACTGCATCGAGGCACCGAAAAGCTAATTGAATACAAAACTTATACGCAGGCATTGCCGTATTTTGATCGCTTGGATTATGTGTCGATGATGTGCAATGAACAATGCTATTCGTTGGCAGTGGAGAAGCTGCTTAACATAGATGTACCGTTAAGAGCCAAGTACATACGAAGTAAGTTTGAAGCTAAGACAACAAAGTAGTTATGTAGCCTTGACCAGTAATATACCGCTTTTAAAATTTTTTTCAAATGAGATTACACATCACAGCAAATACAACCTCGTTTAAAAAACTTTATCTTTAGCTTTATTTGCCGAGATCACCAGGATTCTGAACCACATAATGGCTGTGGGAACTCATGCTCTTGACGTTGGTGCTCTAACGCCATTTTTTTGGCTTTTCGAGGAGCGCGAAAAGATGATGGAGTTCTATGAGCGTGTCTCGGGAGCTCGCATGCATGCTGCCTACATTCGACCTGGTGGCGTTTCGTTGGTAAGACCATTATACAATATATAAGACAGCCCGGTAAAAAGAAATACACAGAAACAAAAACCGGATGATACTTTTCCCAAAGTTGTTGCGCTGAGCTCAATCAGTCTTCAATACAAGTACTTTAAGATGTCGAACGAATCGTTATAAAAACAAAAGTTACAAATATCTCGAAAACCTGACGTACAGCCGATTGACTTTTAAATTATAGGTTTTGTTGAAATAATAGAACATATATTTTGTTGTGTCCATGAAACTTATGAAACTGTTTAACAAAAAGTAGGAAACATATCTTTTTAATCCTTACTGTATAATATTTTTATAGGTTTTTATTAGTTGTCAACGGCTTTCTATTAGGTCTTCTGTAGGCGGCACATCAAAAATCTCCGGAAAAGTTCATATATTCCGGTTCATAGTTTTAAAAAGTTGCCTGTGTAATATGCTTGACAAGTTCACAAACTCAAAATGTAATAATTTTTTAAATCAATGCAAATCAAATTTTCAAAAAATCAAATTTTCCGGACTATAAGAACTTTTTTTTTTATAAATTTATTATAAAGAACTTTTGTCCCAAGAATACTTTGTCCAAGTCTTACTTATCGGATTTCGTTCGGTGTTAAATGTATGAGTATCACCAAGTTAAAAGCGCTCTCCTAAAAAATTCAATTTTAAAATTTGGTACACAATAACTTAAAGTCTAGATTTAGATTTCGTTAAAACAATTGCAGGCATGCCATAAATTATACGGTAGTGTTTGGACATTTTTTAAGGAAGTATTTTGAAGGGATCCAATTCTGAGAATATATTAGATACATCATAATTGATAACTGATTTATTGCAGGACATGCCATTGGGCCTTATGGATGATATTTATGAATTTTCATCCAAGTTTGCGGAACGTCTAGACGAAGTGGAAGATGTCCTAACTACAAACCGCATATGGGTGCAACGAACCGAAGATATTGGCATTGTGACCGCTGAGGAGGCCCTAAATTATGGATTCAGCGGGGTCATGCTTCGCGGCTCTGGAATCAAGTGGGATCTGCGCAAGCAGCAGCCATACGATGCCTATCACCTGGTTGACTTTGATGTACCTATAGGCACCAAAGGCGACTGCTACGATCGCTACCTTTGCCGCGTGGAGGAGATGCGTCAGAGTCTTCGGATTATCGATCAATGCTTAAATCAAATGCCAGCAGGAGAAATTAAAACGGACGACGCCAAGGTGACGGCACCCTCGCGCTCCGAAATGAAGACGTCAATGGAGGCGTTGATTCATCATTTTAAGCTATTCACGCAGGGTTATCAAGTACCTCCAGGGGCTACATATACCGCCATCGAAGCTCCAAAGGGGGAATTTGGAGTATATCTTGTTTCTGATGGTTCAAGTCGTCCGTATCGCTGCAAGATCAAGGCTCCCGGCTTTGCTCATTTGGCGGCGCTGGAAAAGATTGGCAAACAACATATGTTGGCTGATGTAGTTGCCATTATTGGTACTTTGGATGTTGTTTTTGGGGAAATAGATCGTTAGATCTATTAATAATTATAAATTGAAAATATTGATGAATAATAAAACTGCGAAGAAAAATTTGTGTTTTTACGAAATTATAATAAGGTAATTTCTGCTGCAGAAATTGTTTGTGCAATTGAATGGTTTGGTCTAGACTCTAAAGCTGTCAAGCCATCTATGGTGACCTCAGGTTTATAAAAATAAAGAAGAAGCAGTGTTTAGAATAAAATCCACATTTAAGAAAACTACAGATTTTTCATTAATATTAAAATTGTAAAAAATATTAGTATTTGCATTGGCATTAGTTTTATTAATAAACTGCACATTTTCTTTGTTAATAATTCAGAATGTGTATTTTTGTCTTGTATATATATGTATATAATACTACATATTATACACATTGAGGATATCTGTTTGAGAACCATCGATGGTGCAGCTGAAATCTGGATTTAAATTGATCTAAATGTATACATATTTTTAGATATATTTCGGTTTAATTAAACTTTATTACCATATTCTTTTCACAAAACTCTTAAAATATTACAATTATGGATGCCATTGCCAAACAACATTGAAGATATACAATACACTCACTATTTTATAGTTTAACCAATTTTTTTTTTCTTTAAACTTTAATTCATTTTTGCCAGGTAAATTAATGTTTATACGATTCTCGTTTGGTTTATAGTCACATATTTGCCATGAGACTCTCATATGATGTAATGCTTAAAATTGTATTATTAAGAAACAAAATAAAAATAATACAAATTGTAATACAATTTATATAGATATATTAAGTAAATTAACTTTTTTTTTGAAATCGGAATACCCCCTTAACCTTTGCATAGCACTAAATGTATTTAATTTATTTATATTCAATAGCACTAATTTGTTAGGTTGCATTTGCAAATCTGTACACGAGACATTCCTTTTTAGGAAATTTATTTTCGGTAGGTGTTAAATTTTACGCTTTGCTATGCATTTATTTTATTTTTCATTATTTTTTTTATATTCTAAGTGATCACATTGAAACTTTTGTTTTAAAAACGCTTTTAGGAGTTTTATTTTGACGTGTTTTTTTATATTCAATAACATTTTTGTTTTCTAGAAGCTTTAACAATAAATTGTGTGTTTTTTAACTACATAAACCTCATATAATCCATATATTTTAATGATCTTACTGAGAGAGCTGTTTATAGTCTAAACTGGCGCGTATTTATATTTTTTTATGAAGAGTGCTTTAAATAGTACACGTTGGAAATTAAAAAAATTTAAAAAGCTAAATAATAAATCAAAGGAAGGCCACAGGAAACCAAACGTTTGTTCTTTAGAAACAGCATTTTGTATTTAAATAAATACTTATTGTTAATATTTTACGGAAATAATCAAGTTTCTTGTAAAAATAATTTTTTATCGATAAAAATAACTAAATTGATCTTTTTTACTAAATGCTAAGGAAGTCAAATAAAAATAAACTTAATAATCATTCGCATATCTCAAAGTTTAGTAAGCTTTAAGTTATTCAATTTTGGTCAATCGCCATTAATTAATATATTTCCTTCTTTTGCTATATTAAGCATAGAAATCACGCGAATTTATTTAAGACTATTAGAGGATGTCGGTAGATTTATATCGGCAGTAATTGATTCGGACGATTTTTTCATTTTCTCACAATAATCATTGAATATGTCACGAAAGCGTATCCAGCATTTTTCCGGTATAGTTATCGATGTACGAAAGTTGTTTTTTACCTTTTAATATGGATATAAATATAACATTTTTTTTGTGTTATTACATATTATATACTCACTTCGCTAATCCTCATGTAGACACCTCGGTTATTTTGTCCAATATCAAAATAAAAGTTCTTATTATCCACCTTCATATGTCGTTCCTCTGGCAAATCTCCCTTAAATCTACTAAGAAAAAAAGAAAGAAACGGCAATAAACAAAAAATAGTAATAAATAAATAAAAGTAAGTCATTCCGTACCCTCCATCGTTCGCCCCGAACTCTTCTAGCAAATCGGTGAGTGCATCACGAAACTCGATCATCCCTTGGGCCGGCAATGCTATTTGAGATCTAGGTCCACCTCTGGTTACGGTTTGTGACACCTATATTATAATCGTTATTGAAAGAATTATTTAATAAATAGATTGTTTTATTATTCATTTGTAATATTAATTAATTAATTAATTAATCAAGTTACCCGTAGAAACCGCCCTCGAGCATTTTCCTTTAAATCCAAGTAATATCTTCGATAATCTTTAATCATCATTTCAGATTTCAGTTTACCATCCTCCGGTAAATTGTCAGTATTTGGCGGACCTGTATTAGTTTTAAAAGATTTAATTATTATTTACTATAATATAAGTTATATAAAAAATACCTAAAGAAGAATAGTAATCACTAAATGATGACAAGTGATCACGAAATTCGGCTGCCGTTGAAAGGGCCAAATAAATTTGACTTCGTCGGCCATCGGCACCAATCTGTAAATTATACATCATTATATGGATTTCTTCATCATACTTATTAGGGGATTAACCAATTTTTATATATTTTTATACCCTTGCAGGGTATTCAAATTTCAGTCAGACCCTTTCGACTCTATAAAGTGTATTTATTCTTGATCAGCATCAACAGTCGAGTTGATCTAGCCATGTCCGTCTGTCCGTTTCTACGCAAACTAGTCCCTCAGTTTTAAAGCTATCTGAATGAAACTTTGCATATAGTCTTCTATTAACTCTCACTGCTATATATGTCAAAACGGAAAAAAAATTATAACAGCTGTTTTTCAACGTTTTTGCATTATTTTTGAGATATGGTCATTTTATATTATTTCAGAATTTTATGAAAATTGGACGACTATATCTTCGTTGTTTTTCAATGTATTTTTATCTACTCTAAGATATACGCTTTTTTTATTATTTCAGAATTTCAGTATAAATTTTAAGAAAATCGGACAACTATATCATATAGCTGCCATAGAAACGATCGGTAGATGTAGAGAAAATGTAAAGCTGGGAATGTAAAACTGTAACTGTCAAGCTGTAAACATGAAAAGTAAAGGTAAAATGTAATAAAATAATATCTGCAAGGGTATACAAAGTTCAGCGTGCCGAAGTTAGCTTCCTTTCTTGTTTTAAATGATCTATATAATAAAGATAAAAGGGAATATACCCTTGAAAGGTATTATAATCTAATCAGCATTATCAAAGTCGATCTAGCCATGTCCATCTGTCCGTCAGTCTGCCCGTTTTGCAGCTATTTGTATGAAACTTTACAGACATTCTGACTATTCTCATAAACATAAGTCGGAACGGACCGAAACGCATATCATATAGCTGCCATAGGAACGATCTGAAAATTTTTAGAAACAGACAGGTCTGCTCCGATAATTGAAAATGAACAATTTTTTCGTTTCTGAAATCGAAAAATCGGTGCTTCGGTTTTCGAAATCGTACGATTTTTTCGTATGTACCTATGTTTGGCCGGAATGAAAAGTAAATTGATCCCACATCACCACAAGATCATTCTGGCAGGTACTTATTATATAAAAAATTTATTGCTGACCCCACCTTATACTGTCTTCCCACACAGCGCATCTGTGAGGAACGATTGGGATTTTTCGCAGATGCGAAACTTCTGTTCCCACAGAGCTGCGTCAAAGTGTATCTGCATCCGAACAGCTGATCGATCTGCTGTGGCACATGAAAACCTAAACAAAGGCTGTCGAATTGGCTTATGAAAAATTGAAATGGAGCATTTACCAACTATTTAGGCTGTTGTACAACCGTAAATGCACAGATTGCGTTAGATTTTATCCGCACTAACTTAAAATTAATTAGATGACAAAGAATTTGAGTTTCTCTAATGCTTTTTCTCTAATAGGGTCTTCCCACACAACATTAAAGCACATTCAACATCCGTTGAACAAACGGTCCATAAGGTTTTGCCGTTCCGAATTTTCCCAAATGGACCGGCGTTAGTTCAACATTAAAATCTAACCACGGTTTGTTTGGCGATAGTTAGGCGATAGTTTTTCTGTGCAACTCTGATTCTTCTTCTTAATTTGACCATTCACCACGAAAATGTAAACAAATTGGCGAGGAACAAATGAGATATGGAATTTAAAACGTGGCGCCAAAGCTACAAGCATGCCTAAAATAGTTGTTGGCGTTTTTTCTGTATATTCTGGCCCAATATGTCCCCAATTGTTACTATTTAATATAAACCGCCTACCTCTACCTTATGTTAAAGATTTTGGATGCCTATACCACCTATAGACACTCTTTTGGGAATTTGCTCTTTGTTAGAGAAAAATCATTAGAAAAACTAAAATTCCTTGTCATTTAATTCATTTAAATTTAGTGCGGATAAATTCTTACGCAATCTGTGCATTTTGCTGTTGTACAACAGCCAAAATAGTTGGTAAATGCTCCATTTCAAATTTGCAACTGCCAATTCGACAGCCGTTGCACTATGGTTTTTTTCGCGTTTTTTTTGGCATAAAGTCAATTTTTTTATTTTTATGTATCTTAAAATTTTTTTTTATTTTTAATTTTTAAACACCCTAGATAGATAAAAAAATATGTAACTTTAACATATGGAGCAACACTGTTCTGCTGGCCAGCTGTTAAAGTCAGCCGATTATGTAGCAGTTGTTTTGTATGAAATTGGCGCGAAAAATTGTGCGACTTTGATAGTTTGTTGTGGCAAAAGTTTACGAAGATGTTAAATGAATAAATATGGAAAACGATTGTCCAGGTATTTAAAACTAAAGTTTACCAATGTTTCTGTCGTTGTTATGTGTTTTTGTCCAATTGTACCGTCTTTTGTTTACGTGTATTTTTAGAACGAGCTTAACAAGTGTAGCTGTGTTTCGTGGATCAGTACTTTTGCATGGCAAAGAGTTGCAAAAAGTTGTAAATGAGAAACTATTAACCAAAGTGTGCAGATTAATGAGAAACTAACCGTTTTTGTCCGAATCCACACGTTTTCGAAAAAAATCATAATTTTCTAGTACCATATCAGTATGGTTTTTTCCCGTTTTGTTTGCTATAAACTCCAGTTTTAGGCCTATTGATCTGAAATTTGGTTTGTATACATTTTTTAAGCTTTTATGATGACCTACCAAGTTTCAAATGATTTGGGGCACTATTTCATATAGCTGCCATATAACAGATCTGGCCGATTCGCCCAAAAAAGTTTTTTTGTTAAAATATAACCAAATCATTTGAAACTTGGTAGGTCATCTTGGGAGCTTAATAAATGTATACAAACCAAATTTCAAAGCAATAGCTTGAAAAACAAAAAAGTTGGTGCAAATCGGCCAGATCGGTTATATGGCAGCTATATGAAATAGTGCCCCAAATCATTTGAAACTTGGTAGGTCATCATAAAAGCTTAAAAAATGTATACAAACCAAATTTCAGATCAATAGGTTTAAAATTAGAGTTTATGCCAAAAAAAACGCGAAAAAAACCATAGTGCGTTGTTTACGTTTTCATGAGCCACAGCTGTTCGGATGATGCTTTAATGTTGTGTGAGAACACGAGTTTCCTCACAAATGTGCTGTGTGGGAAGACAGTATAACAAAGAGCAAATTTCCCGAAGAGTGTGTATGGGTGGTATAGTCTTCCCAAATCTATAAGATAAAGTAGAGCCGTTTTATATTAAATAGTAGCGATTGGGGACACTTTGGGGCAAGAATAAAAAACAAAAACGGCAACAACTATTTTGGGAATGCTTGTAGCTTTGGCGCCACATTTTAAATTCCATATTTCATTTGTTCCTAGCCAAGTTTGTTGACATTTTCGTAATGTTGGCCAAATTTTCACTGTTAAGAAGAAGAAATCAGAGTTGAACCGAAAAACTATCGCCAAACAAACGGTCGTTAGATTTAGATCCCGGTCCATTTGAGAAAATTCGGAATGGCAAAACTTTATGGACCGTTTGTTTAACGGACGGTGGATGCGCTTTCATGGTGTGTGGAAAGACCCTATTAGATTTAACATTTTCTGCATTAGGCATTTCTTCACGTTGTTTGCTTTTTACAAAAAAAAAAAAAAAAAAAAAAAAAATAAATAAATAACAAGTCAGCTAAAAGAAAGGATAAGAAAACAAAACATTCCGATAGTAAAAATATGGAGAAAATTAACAGAATATATAAAACATATATATACATATATTAATCATATTACAATTTCTTTTTAATAAATGTCAAAAAGATACATATATTTTAAACGTAAAAAAGAACTACATTTTGGATTTAAAATATCTAATATAATATAAATTATAAGCATATAACATACATATGTATGTTATGTGTATGCTGAACATAAACAAAGCAATAACAACTTTCATTACATTTACATATGTATGTCGGAGGGAACCGTTATTTAATTTAACCGTAGTCGAGCCAGCGAGTTCTGTCCGCCTGCGCACTCCAAACGTATCTGTCCTCACGTCACTTTTCCTTTTGCCTTTTCACATTTTCTTACTTTTCACTCAAACGTCAATCCTAGACAATCTCTAGCTGTCTCTCTCACTCTCTCATATTGTTGCGACAGACGAACAGACCTCACTCAGTAACAGACAGTCTACTGTCCTTTTCCTGTTACCGACTCAACTGTAATTGCGCCTGCGCGCCAGCGACACCTACAGGCTACCAATACCTGAGCATGCCGAATAATTCTGTTGCCATAGCAACAAGCTTTCCAAATTTGCACTTAGCAACCAACTCGCCGACACGGCCATCCTGACATTTCACGCGTCCTCGCGTGACGTGTCTTCTAATAGCTCTAAACACAACAGTAATTTTCATTTATTTTTCTCTCTTGTTTCTCTCTTTTGTCTCAACTTAACATTTCATTTTAACTGTTTCATTTATGTCAAATAAGCTTTACTTTTATTTCTTCTCGCCACTTCACTACCACAACTCTTACTCAACATGTCTTCATCAATTTATACAGGCTCTTGCTGCACACTTTGCAACGCTCACACGCACCTCTTGCGTCACGGTCTCTCTGGACCCTCATAGCCTTATAAATGATTCCACCAACGAGTGCCTCAGTCGGCGATCTCTCGCTTACACTTCTAGTGTCTTCTTTGGCAGGATAACCTTTCGAAACCAATAGAGTACAAGCTCTCTTCATCTTTCAAAAGGCTCCGCTTCACATATTCTGACCATAGGAATAAAGTAGGCCCTGTTTCATGTGATCCGACACGGCCTTCCTGACAAAACACACGTCCTCGTGTGTTAACTTTAAATCACAGTATTCTCAAATTTCAGTACTCGTTACATTTTATTGTTAACAAACATTTCATTAATTTTCTAAACATAAGTATTGAGGCATTTAGACAAAATAAGCATCTTGGTTTCATGATAACATGATAACATAACAAATTACATCTTCATTTTAATCATAATTTTCAATTCAGACTTCTCTAATTACATAGCTTTATCAACTGGTGTATTTCCTTTTAC